TTCCGGTTGGGTGTTTTTTGCTTCTTCGTATTTCAAATCTTTGACTTGATTCTTGCGATCCCTGGTCTGCTGTTGGGAATCTGTATATTCTTTATTTCAGTCAGTGAATGCTTAATTTCTAGTTGGTCCTTTATCATAACATCGAGGGTCTCACTAGATTTCTTGAGGGTCTCATTAAGTTTATCCGCGGTTTCTAGAAAATTCTTGAAAAACCTCAAAAGTGTGGTTTTGAACTCTATATCCAGTAGTTTGCTTTCCTCCATTTCTGTCATTTGTGTCCTGTTTCTTTGTCTCGGCATATTTTATGCTTCGCTGTGTTGATAGAGTGGCTTTCTGTGCTAAGTGTCCTATAGGGCCCAGTGGCTCAGCCTCCCCAATTACCTGAGGTAGACACTCTTGGTGCACCCCCTTGTGGTCTTTGTGCACAGTCTTGTTGTAGTTAAGCCTTGATTGTTGTAGGTAACACTGGGAGGATTTGACCTCCAGGCCAACTGGCTGTGAGAATCAGCTGTGTCTATGGTGGGAGAACTTCTGTGCTGAAGACACCCGTATGGGGCAAGACTTGCTTCAGTGGGGCTTTGGTGCTCACTGAGTCTGCCCCCTGAGTGTGTCCCTTATGGATCTGAGGAGTTGTAATTGGATGGTCCCACTCTGACCACTAGGTACACTGGCTCTTGGATCTAAGGAGGTGCTAATCTAGCCTCTGCCTGAGGCTACCTAGTAGAAGCCAGCTGTAAAACAATGCAAGTTGCCCTGGGGCCTTGGGGCAGCTGCAGTTTGTGAAGTAATTTTCAGATTACAAAGGGCCGGGCCTTTCATATGCAAAAGCCTCTGTGCACAGCTTGGGTGGGGCAGGGTCCCAGGGTATCAACTGGGTGGGCGGAGCGAGCAGTATGGCTGCTCTCAGTCCTGTCCTCAGAGGCCCCGGCAATCGCTGCGTGTGCCTCCGAGAGAAAGCTGCCCTCGAGTTCCGACTGATGCCAGACAGTCCCGTTTCTCCCGTATGAGTCTGTGTCCCCAGAGACTCGCCCAGAACTGGAGCTCAGAGCCTGAGACTCCCTCCCAATTGAAAAAGACAATCGTGACCTCAGCTGCCGGCCCTCTCCACATGCACCTCCGCATTTTACTTCCACATTGCACCTCCTCTGAGTCTCGGTATGCTTTTCTCTTTCCTTCTAGTTGTAGACTTCCCACTCAGCCAGCCTTCCTGTGGTTCTGGATGGTGTCCGTTCCGTCTTTTAGTTGTATTTTTGAAGTGGATGTGCAAGGCAGCAATCTCTGGTGTTTACCTATGCCGCCATCTTAGTTTCTCCCTAATTTTCTTTTCTTGACTGGTTTTGGTATGAGGCTAATGCTGACCTTGTAAAATGAGTTTGGAAGTGTTCCCTTCTATTTGTTTGAAGAGTTTGAGAATTGCTATTAATTCCTCTTCAAAGGTTGTAGAATTCACCAGGGAAGCAGTCTTGTTTAGACTTTTGCTTATTGGAAGGTGTTTGATTACTGATTCTGTCTCCCTACTAGAAATTTGTTCGTTCAGATTTTCTATTTCTTCATGATTCAGTCTTTGTAGGTTGTATGCTTCTAGGAATTTTACCATTCCTTGTAGGTTGTCAAATTTGTCCAGAAGAGTCTCTTGTGGTCCTTTGTATTTCTGTGATATCAGTTATATCTCCCTTCTTACTTTTATTTACTTGGCCCTCTCATTTTCTGAGTCTAACTTAAGATTTGTCAATTGTTTATCTTTTCAAAGAACCAGCTCTTACTTTCACCTTTTCTATTGTCTTTTTAGTCTCTATTTCTGCTCTGATCTTTATTTCCTTCCTGGGCTTCATTTGTTTTTTTGTTTCTTGTGGTGTAGTTACGTTTTTATTTGATAGTTTTATTTATTTTTATATATAATCATTTATTGCTATTTCTGAACATCCCTCTCAGAACTGCTTTTGCTACATCCCATTAGTTTTGGAATGTTGTGGTTCAATTATCATTTATCTCAGGTATTTTCAATTTCTCTTTTCTTTTCTTCTTTGACCCATTCGCTGTTCTTAGCATGTTGTTTAATCAGTACATTATTTGTGAATTTTCATTTTTTCTTATAATTGATTTTGTTTCATGCATTATGGTCAGAAAAGATGCTTGTTTTTATTTCAATTTTCTTAAATTTATTGACTTGTTTTATGGCAGTGGTTCTCAACCTTCGCTGCACATTAGAATCATCTGGGAATCTTTTTAAAATCCTGATTTCTGGGCCTCATCCTCTGGGAATTCTGTTTCTTTGTTATGGGGTGGGGCCACATTAATAACAAAGAAACAATTTCCAGAGGATGAGGCCCAGAAATCAGGATTTTAAAAAGATTACCAGGTGATTCTAATGTGCAGCCAAGGTTGAGAACCACTGTTTTATGGCCTACTATATGATCGATAAGAGAATTCCACGTGCACTTAAGAATGTGTTCTGTTGCTCATAGAGTGTTCTGTATATAAGTCCATCTGGTTTAATGTAATAAAAGGCTGATTTCCGTATTTTCTGTCTGGATGATCTATTGATGAGAGCATGTAGTAAAGTCCCCTACTATTATTGTATTGCTATTTCTTCCTTTTAGGTCTTTTAATATTTGCTTTATATATTTAGGTGTTCCAATGACAAGAGCATATTTACAAATATATCTTCTTGTTGGATTGACTCCCTTATTACAATGTAATGCCCTTTTTTGTCTCTTATTATAATCTTTGTTTTAAAGTCTATTTGTCTGATATGAGTGCTACCCCAGCATTCCCCCGTCACATTTGAATAGAGTATCTTTTTCCATACCTTCATTTTTAGTCTGTATGGCCTTACATCTGAAGTCAGTCTCTTGTAGGCAGCATAAATGTCTTTTTAAAAAATTCATTCTTTTGACTGAAGAATTTAGTCCATTTAAAATAATTATTGAGAGACATGTACTTATCATTTTGTTTTCTATTTTATAGTTTTCTTCTTTGTAAGTTGACTTTCTTCAAACAATCATAGGTAATCTACATCCCTAGTATTTTAAAGGAGTGAGGATTTCTAACTAAAAATAATTCTATTAAGTTCTTCCCTGGTTCTATGTAAATTCTTGAAGTTGGTCTACATATATTTACTCAAATCTTTCCCAAACACTAAAGAATTCTCAGGGTGTGTGTGTGGGGGCAATGCTCAAAAAAGGGGGAGGGGAGGGAAGGGAAATTAAGGAAAGGCAAGTAGAGATGTATGTTCTAGGAAAGAACATTGAAATTGACAAATTATATATATTCTAGAACTGTTGTAGAGTTCCCAGGAACGAGAATCCTAATAACCTGTTATAAACTAGCCGATAAAACACGTTTGAAATGCCTTCAGAACGTTAAATTTTAGTATATTTGTGAGGAAATTTTATCAGATAACATGTCAAAATTTAGGTGGGATTAGAGAAAGACCTGCAAATGTGGTTTAAAGGTATAAAGCTTTTTCACACACAAATGAAACAGCAATGTAATTCAATTCTGAAAGTAACAACCTAAAGGACTGGACAGTCTGCATTACAATAGGTAGTAACATCTGATGACATTACGTTTAGTAAGTAACAATGAATAGCAAAATGCACAATATCCTCTTTAAATTTTTCACTGAAACTCTCCACCACTTTAGCTTCATGTAATGAGGTATTTGTTCATATTTTATGTACCATTTAAACTGAGAGTTTTTTGGTTTTTTTTAGAAGGGGATGGACAAAAATAGAGATTTTTTAAAAATTGTGACAACCCAGTATCTACCCAGTTCTTGATTTAGTGAGTTATTAGGGTAGTTTCTGCACTCATTTTCCCGCAATGTGTACACACTGAAACTGCTTCGTATCAGAAAAAGATTTAAAAATTATCTGCAAAAACTGCATTTTACCTTGCAACAGTGCTGACTCTTATAGGAAATAGGCTTATAAGATAGCTAAGGGAGAGGACCTCGCTGTTGTCTTAGGAATATAAGTCACGCTTTAATTCTGAGGAGTGAACTCAGGAAACCAGAACAGTTTAAGCTTCAGAAGATACTAGAGCTGAAGATTGCCAGAGTGATGGAAATCACTTAGTGATAGATAGCAATTTCCTTTGTGAAGATAACAGTATTCAATTTGGCTCAATTAGCCATCTTGTATCTACTGGGTTACTGGCATATTATCTGAAATCTACAGCATTTGTTTGGGAAAACTTTAGGAGGAAGAGACAGTTTATAAGTTGACTCATTTCCCTCCTTTTCTGCATTTTGAGACTATCAGCCACTTTCATTCATTTGGAAATGATGGTAAAGCAGTGATCTTGGGCTACACTACTTATTCAAATCAACCTCATGTTAGATTTATACATCCACTTAATATCTCACCAAAATTTTAAACAAAAATGGGCATTTTCCTTCAATTCAGAACTTCAAATAAGTTACTATATGAACATAGTACTTTATGATTCAGAATGATGAAAATAACAAAATAGAAAAAATTTGTGGGCAGCACCTAAGGCACTCAGTCAATGTTAACATTTCATGACCACGTCAATATTTCTTATAGGATTTTTTAAAAAAATATATTTTATCGATTTTTTACAGAGAGGAAGGGAGAGGAATAGAGAGTGAGAAACATCCATCAGCTGCCTCCTGCACACCCCCCACTGGGGATGTGCCTGCAAACAAGGTACATGCCCTTGACTGGAATTGAACCTGGGACCTTTCAGTCTGCAGGCTGTCGCTCTATCCACTGAGCCAAACCGGTTAGGGCTCTTATAGGATTTTTATCTTAAGCTACAGAGGAGCAGGTACAGCCCCTAGCCACTCCTGATAGTGCTGTTACCCACCCAGAATTAACCGTGATAATGGTTATTAGGTTCACTTTAACAGCTTGAAACACTTTATACTTGTCTTGAAGTATACTTAAAGAATTTATTCAGCTGATTCTTAAGGAGCCAAGTCAGAGCCAATATTCTAAATCTTGAAAGCTCCCTTAAATGCAATATTCATAGTCTTTACATTTTAACTGTCATTGTTTATTACCAGTTTGGCTACATTCTCTACAATTTCAGCAGCATTTTAAAGAGACAATGTGTGTATGTACAATGGAAAAACAAAATGGCTTGCAATATCAGAAATAACAGCCACAGTCTAACTGTACAATATTAAGGAGAATCTGTGGTAAAGTAAGTAGAGCCTCCTTTTTCAGCAACATGGACAACTTACATGTATCAGCATTATGAATATAACAATAAAGGAATAATTTTTACAGGAGTAAAATACAACATCCTGAAAAATGGCTTCTACCATACCAGGCAGTTAGAAAATGTTCACATTTTAACAAATCTGTATAAACCACAAGAAACTTGTTTATGGGACCATCATCCCACCTTGCTGATAAGAACCTTCTAGAAATGTAGAATAACCATGAACAATGTATAAATCTAGTATCTATGTGCTCCACAGCCCTAGAACCCAAGAAACTGATTTAGAGAACTCTGTATGTCCAACATGGATCATTTTACATGCCTTGATTGTTAATGAATGCCTGCTTTTAATATGCCTCTATGATGTACAGTCAATTTGCACCTTTTTAAGGAGGTCATTCGATTTTTTTTAGCAAAGAAGCAACATCATTTAGCAGCAATTAAAGCGCCTTCAAGACTTAAAAAAAATACAATATCCAATTAGAAAAGCCATATTTTTAAACATTTGTACAAGAATAAGCTGCTGAAACTTGGTAATTGAAATATGACATATGTACAACAATTTACAATAGAGCTAGAAGGGAATTTATCATTATCCTGCATAGAACTGGTCTGCATTTGGTTACATACTGTCATTTGTTTTAATGAACAAGGCCTGGTATCAAAACAAAAATATGTTACTTCTAACATGTTGAAAACACTGGAGATATTACAATTTAGTGAATTCAACTGATTTTAAAATGAGCAGCTCATTTTGTCAAAGGTGTAAAGTATCTAGGAATAATAGCTCTCCCTTTAACATAACCAGTGAAAAAAAAGGACATGTGATTTCGAGGTACAATGTGGTAAAAGCCAGAACAGGCAAATGACAAAGTCTAACCTTGTCCAAAGATTCTAACTCTCACATTCTATCTATAAAACACAACTGTCACTGTCATTCAGGTCTTACTTTGGTCTCGGCAGATTAACTGCCAAATGCTGAAGAATGTATCCAGGCACTGTAGTTCTTGTGTTAGAAATACTTCTCATTTTTTCCAAGTGTTTTTAAATAATGAAAAACTACCCTTCATATTAGAACTCTTTAGTAACAACCAAATGTATTTAAGTATTATAAACGCTATTTACAGTGTTTCCCCAAACAAATCATTTTTCTTCTGTCTGAACATGGTATTCCCGTTTCTGTGCAACAGGCAGTCACCCTTCACGTCTCAAGGTTATTTATAGTCAGAAGTGTACATTTATTCACTGTCCATGATCCTTTCTCATACAAACGACGCCACAAAGAACTTCAGCTTGCGAACAGTTCTCAATCATGTCCTGTGTAAAAAAGAAAGTAACAAAAAAACACTCAAATGCTCTTAAACTCAAGTGTGCACCTGGAAGCAATTCAAAGGTGTCATGCCAATTTTGGAGGAAAGTCAGTAAGTCATTATGCTTGAAGCAGGGGGTGTGGGGGATGCTGTCAGCCCAGCCATGTGTAAGTTTCCTGAAGAGTTTGATCTTCTCATGTGTGGGAGAAGGTACGGGTCATTTGCCAGTTGGTGCACATCAAATCGATCTTCTTTTCGGTATGCCAAACAGCGTCGTATAAAGGCCTTAAAAAAAAAAGTCAGCAATTAAAATCTTTCCTCTTCTAAGTATCAAACAACTAAATTCCAGAGAAGAATGGACACATTTAAGGCAGCTTTTTCATCATCTCAAACTGAAACTTTTACTATAACCATTAAATAGTAACTACTGATTTCTTCCTCCCCTAACTTTTGGAAACCACTGTTCTGTCTTGTTTATGATTTGGCTATCCTAAATATCTATATATAAGTACCTAGAATATAAGTGGAATCACACAATATTTGTCCTTTTGTATCTGGCTTATTTCGCTTAGCACAATGTTTAAGAGTCATCCATACTTGCAGCATGCATCAGAATTTTGTCCCTTTTTAAATTAAGTAATATTCAACTGCATGTATATACAACATTCTGTTTATCCATTCACCTGTTGATTGATATTGGGTTGTTTCCACCTTTTTGCTATTGTGAATGCTGTTTTGAACACTGGTAGAGATCTGTTCAAGTCTCTGCCTTTTCATCTTGTTGATGGTTTCCTTTGCTGTGCAGAAGCGTTAGTACTGCACTTGTTTTTGTCGCCTTTGCTTTTGGTGTCAAATCCAAAAATTCCTCACCAAGATGGAGGTCAAAAGCTTACTAGCTATATTTTCTTTTAGGAGTTTTGTGTTTCAGATCTTTACACCTTTAAATCTTTCATCCATTTTGAGTAAATTTTTGTTTATGGTATAAGTGGCTCAGTTTTCCTGACATTATTTATTGAAGAGACTGTCTTTACCCCATTGCATATTTTTGACTCCTGTTCATAAAATAATTGACCATATATGTGTAGGTTTATTTCTGGGCTCTCAATTCTGTTCCACTGACCGTTGTGTCTGTTGTTATGCCAGTACCATACTGTCTGGATTACTACGGTTATATTGTAGTTTGCAATCAGGGAGCATGATGCCTCCAGCTTTGTTGTTCTTTCTCAAGACGCTTTGGCTATTCTGGGTCTTTTGTGGTTCCACACAAATCTTGTAATTGTTTGTTCTAGTTCTATGAAAAATACCATTGGAATTTTGGTAGGGATTACAGGAATCTGTAGATTGCTTTAGGTAGTACAGACATTTTCATAATATCAGTTCTTCCAACCCATGAGTTAGGACTATCTTTCCATATATTTGTATTTCTTTAATTTCTTCCATTAACATCTTACAGTTTTCAATGTATAAATCTATCAACTTGTTGGTTAAATTCACCTCTAGGTATTCTACTCTTTAAGATGCAAATGGGCTTATTTTCTTAATTTCTCTTTCTGATAGTTTGTGTATAGAAATGCAACAGATTTTTATATATTGAGTTTGCATCCTGCAACTTTACTGAATTTGTAGATTAGTTCTAACAGTTTTTTGGTGATGTTTTTAAGGTTTTCAGTATACAGGTGACCCCTGAACAACAAAGGGTTAGGGGTGACAACTCCCAGCAGTCAAAATCCACATGTAACTTAATTTGGCCCTCTGCATATGCAATTCCCAATGACCCATTGACCTTTAATTCGATTTGAACTGTGTGGGTTAACTGAAAAATCTGTGTATAAGTGGACTGGTACAGTTTGAACCCGTGTTGTTCAAGGGTTAACTATATAATATCATCTGTAAATTATTTCTTCCTTTTTGATTTTGGATGCCTTTTATTTCTATTTCTGCCTAATTGCTCTAGCTAGGACTTCTAATATTATGTTAGATATGGAAAGCTGCATTTGTAATTACAAATTCTGCACACTTATTTCTAGAATTTATCTTCTGCTAAAATAATCCTCTCACTCTCTGTCAGTTTAGTTTTAACCATATTATTTTTTTTTCCTATTGAGCATAAAGACTTTCTTTACATGAAGGAACACTTCCATTGAGGTTTTTGTTTCATAGGTTAACGTTGAGCATCAGCAACTTTTGAAAAAGCTAAAAGTGGAATAGAATCACTATCTTTTCCCTTACTCAGACTGGTTTTATGTATCCTGTCCTTGAGAAGAGCTTCTTTAAAAAAAACAACACAAAACTCTAAGTATACAGTACAAAGTGAATATATCAATGTAACTGGCAACCAGATAAAATAATTTAACCAAAATCATCTGAGTTTCTTCCTGCCTGTTTAAGCATGGGCTCTGCCTACAACCCACCTGGGTAACTTCCACCCTAACTTTTAACACTGTAGTTGAGTTCTGCTGTTTTGACCTTCATGTAAGTGAAACCACAGATTATGTTCTCTTTTATGTGGCTTCTTTCACCCAGTATTATATTTGAGATTTGTGCATTTTTTTACAACAGATAAAACATTCTTAAGTGATAATTGATAATTCTTTCCCTTTCTTATTGCTGACACTAGACCAGTGATGGCAAACCTATGACATGCGTGTCAGAGGTGACACGCGAACTCATTTTTTTGGTTGATTTTTCTTTGTTAAATGGCATTTAAATATATAAAATAAATATCAAAAATATAAGTCTTTGTTTTACTATGGTTGCAAATATCAAAAAATTTCTATATGTGACACAGCACCAGAGTTAAGTTAGGGTTTTTCAAAATGCTGACACGCCGAGCTCAAAAGGTTCGCCATCACTGGGCTAGACAGTACCCTATAGCTTGCCATGAAATAAACCATTAATAAGAAAACTATAACATACTTTTTAATGTGATCAAACTTCAACTTAAATGGAACAATTTTGCCTGTTCTTTGTTTTGAAAGTCATTGGAAGTAATTTTTTCTCTAAAAACAAATCTAGCTCTTCTCATACCATGGTTAGCATACTAACATTTTATCAAAAGTCTTTCTGATCCCTTAGATCTTATCTTTTTAAGTCTTTAACAAAAAAAGTTTCAGAGACCACTCTGAAAATGATTAAGATATAGAAAAAAGAAATGAAGAGTGATTATGTTGAAGACAGAGTTTAAAAGGATGAAAAACTACCAATAGCCAGGTTAAAAAGTATACGAGGAGTAAATATGCTTAAGATGCCTAAATGAGGTCAGTAGAGGTACTTGGCAAAGGTGTATTCTGTAAGGACAAAAGGTTACGAAACAAGCAAAAATAATGTGCTTTTCCCCTGGTACCAAAAGGGTGACTGTGGCACCTATAAAGAGCCAGAGGTGGTGAATGGGACTTCTTTTTGGCACACTATAGTCACACTACACTCATTCTTGTTACTATTAAAAATGTAAATACATGGATCCTGCATTGTTACATTCATTTAGTTTCTATTCTCACTGATGCTGTGATAAACAGGAGACAAAATTTAGATACTAACACCAAGATATTTTAAAAATTTTTTCACTTATATATTTTTATTGTTGACAGTATTATAAATGTCCCCCATAACCCCTTTACCCTCCTCTGTCCAGTCCCTACTTCTTCCCCCAGGCCTTCACCACACTACTGTCTGTGTCCATGGGCTATGCATATCCTATATCAGTGATGGCGAACCTTTTGAGCTCGGCGTGTCAGCATTTTGAAAAACCCTAACTTAAGTCTGGTGCCGTGTCACATATAGAAATTTTTTGATATTTGCAACCATAGTAAAACAAAGACTTATATTTTTGATATTTATTTTATATATTTAAATGCCATTTAACAAAGAAAAATCAACCAAAAAAATGAGTTCGCGTGTCACCTCTGACACGTGTGTCATAGGTTCGCCATCACTGTCCTATACAATAAAACCCTAATATACAAATAGACCGAACAGGGGAACAACCGGTCACTATGATGCACACTGACCACCAGGGGGCAGACCCTCAATGCAGGAGCTGTCGCCTGGTGGTCAGTGCGCTCCCACAGGGGGAGCGCTGCTCAGCCAGAAGCTGGGCTCATGGCTGGTGAGCATTGCGGCAGTGACGGGAGCCTCTCCTGCCTAAGGCGGCAGGTGGATATCTCCTGAGGGGTCCCGGACTGCAAGAGGGCGCAGGCTGGGCTGAGGGACCCCCCCCTGCCCTCTAGTGCACGAATTTCGTGCACTAGGCCTCTAGTAAATATATAAGTTCTTTGATTTCTCTCTTCCTGTCCCCCTCTCCCCTCTGAGATATGTCAGTCTGTTCCATCCCCATGGACTTATTTTGTTGGTCAATTTATTTTGTTCATTAGCTTCCACTAATAAGTGAGATCATGTGATATTTGTCTTTCTCTGACTGGCTTATTTCATTTAACATGATCTCCAGGTCCATCCATGCTGTTTCAAAGGGTAGGAGATCCCTCTTTTTTACAGCTGCATAGTATGCCATTGTGTAAATGTACCACAGCTTTATCCATTCATCTACTGTTTCGAAACCTTAGGTATTGGAAATAATGCTGCTATGAATATAGGGGTGCATATATTCTTTCTGATTGGTGTATGGGTTTCTTCGGCTGTTTTCCTAGAAGTGCGGTTGTTGGGTCAAGTGGCAGTTCCATTTTTGATTTTTTGAGGAAACTCCACTGTTTTCCATAGTGGCTGTACCAGTCTGCATTTCCACCAACTGTGCATACGGGTCCCCTTTTCTCCACATCCTCACCAGCACTTGTCATTTGTTTAGCCATTTTGACAGGTGTTAGTACCTCACTGTCATTTTAATTTGTATCTCTCTGATGATCAGTGACTTTGGGCATTTTTTCATGTCTCTTGTCCATCAGTATGTCTACTTTGGAGAAGTGTCTACTTAGGTTCTTAGCCCATTATTTAATTGGATTGTTTGTCTTCCTTTTGTTGAGTTGTATGAGTTCTTTATATATTTTGGAAATTAACCCCTTATCAGCTGTATTATTGCCAAATATGTTCTCCCATACAGTGGGTTCTTTTCATTCAGATGATGGTTTCTCTTGCTGTGCAGTAGCTTTTTAGTTTGATGTAGTTCCATTTTTTAAAACTTTTTTCCTTTGTTTCTCTTGCCCAAGCACAGTGATCGGCAAACTGCAGCTCTCGAGCCACATGCGGCTCTTTGGCCCCTTGAGTGTAGCTCTTCCACAAAATACCACGTGCAGGTGCGCATGTACAGTGCGATTGAAACTTCATGGCCCATGTGCAGAAGTCAGTATTTTGTGGAAGAGCCACACTCAAGGGGCCAAAGAGTCGCATGTGGCTCACGAGCCACAGTTTGCTGACCACTGCCCTAGAAGATTTATCGTGAAAAGCCTGAGATTTTGCTGCCTATGTTTTCTTTTAGGATTTTTATGGTTTCACGACTTACATTTAAATCTTTTATCCATTTTGAGTTTATTCTTGTGTATGGTGTAAGTTGGTGGTCTAGTTTCATCTTTTTGCATGTACCTGTCCAATTTTTCCAAGACCATTTGTTGAAGAGACTGTCTTTACTCCATCGTATGTTCTTGCCTCCTTTATCAAATATTAATTGACCATAGGATGTGGGTTGATTTCTGGGGCCTGTGTTCTGTTCTACTAATCTATATGCCTATTCTTGTGCTAGTACCAGGCTTTTTTTTTTATTATTATTATTATTACAGTGGCTTTGTAGTATAGTTTGATATATGGTATTGTGATCCCTCCAACTTTGTTCTTTTTTCCAACATTGCTGTGGCTATTTGGGGTCTACTTTCCGACGACTGGTTTTTACCTCCTTGGTTAAGTTTATTTCTAAATATCTTAATTTTTTTGTTGTAATGGTAAACGGGGTTGTTTTTTAAATTTCCCTTTCTGAGAGTTCATTATTGGTGTATTAAAATGCCATCAATTTCTGAATGATTTTGTAACTGCTACTTTGCTGAATTCATTTATTAAAGAGAGTAGATTTGCTGAAACCGGTTTGGCTCAGTGGATAGAGCGTCGGCCTGCGGACTGAAAGGTCCTAGGTTCAATTCCGGTCAAGGGCATGTATCTGGGTTGTGGGCACATCCCTAGTAGGAGATGTGCAGGAGGCGGCTGATCGATGTTTCTCTCTCATCGATGTTTCTAACTCTCTCTCTCTCTCCCTTCCTCTCTGTAAAAAATCAATAAAATATATTAAAAAAAAACAAAACAAAAAAAAAGAGAGAGTAGATTTTTGGTGGAGTCTTTAGGGTTTTTATGTACAATATCATGTCATCTGCAAATAATAATTTTACTTCCTTCTCCTTTCTTCTTGTTTGATCACTGTGGCTAGGACTTCTGATACTATGTAGAATAAGAGTGGTGCTTTTCCCATTAAGTGTTCTTAGGGGAAACACTTAGTTTTTGCCCATTGAGTATGATGTTGACCATAGGTTTGTCGTCATGTATATTCTTTATTATGTTGAGGTATGATTCCTCTATTCCCACTTTGCTGAGAGTTTTGATCAAAAAAGGGTGTTGGGTTTTGTCAAATGCTTTTTCTGCGTCTATTGATATGATCATGTAATTTTTTTATCCTTCATTTTGTTTATATGATTGATTTGCAAATATTATACCAGCCTTGTATCCCTGGAATAAATCCCACTTGGTCATGGTGTATGATCTTTTAAATGTATTGCTGGAATCAATTCCCTAATATTTTGAAGATTTTAGCATCTATGTTCATCAGGGATACTGGCGTCAAAAATTTTTTTAAAAGAAGCCATATTTACCTTACAAAAATAACTCATGTTTTAAAATAAGAACGTCAGTTATCTTTTTAATTGTCAATCTTCTAAAAGTCATTCAAATGATTTGCAAAAAGCCAATAAAGATGTAATGGACAGACTAACCAATCTAGAGGAAGGCGGGGTGGAGGGAGTCACTGGGGAAGAAAAAGAGGACATCTGTAATACTTTCAACAATACTGATAAATTTTAAAAAAGATGTAATAGAGGAGGAACCAAGATGGCGGCATAAGGTACAAACCTGTACGTGCTGCCCCCCACAACAACATTAAAACCACAACTATAAGACAAAACAGCTATCATCCAGAACCACGGGAAAGCTGACCGAGTGGAAGTTCTACAACTAGAAGGAAAGAAAAAAGCGCATTGAGACCAAGTAGGAGGGGAGAGGCGCCAAGAACAGAGGTACGGAGGCGCGCGTGTGGTTTTTTTCAATCGGAAGGGGACAAGCTCTCAAACATACTGAACTCATTTACGGCGAGACGCTGGGGTCCCAGGCTCCTACGGGAGAAACGGGACTATCTTGCAGCGGGTCCGAAAGCGAGGGTGACTTTCTCACAGAGCTGCTCGCTGGGATCATTGTTGTGGTGGGGGCGCGTGGCACTCGGGAGTTGCTGACAACACCATTGCTGTTTGCTCCGCCCTGGGGACTCTCTGAGACCCCGTCCCACTCAATTTACAATCCCCTCCCAAGCTGTGCTCAGCGGCACAAAGGAGGCACCTGCGCTTTTGCAGCCTAACAAGCTGCAGTGAATCAGAGAGCTCCAAACTTCCAACTCCAAACAAAGAGGAGAAACCTGTTGATATTGCTGTGCCCCTGCTGGGTGGACCCACACAGTGGGTGACTTGGAGATCCAGGAGCCAGGTACTCCGGGTCAGATACTAGGTTTCAACTTCTCACATCTATAAGGGACACACTCAAGAAGCAGACCCAGTGAGCACCAAAGCCCCACTGAAGCAAGTCCTACCGCATAAGGGTGTCTCCAGCACAGCAGTTCTTCTTATAGACACAGTGGGTCCTCGCAGTCAGCCAAAAATGCGAAGACAAAGAAACATGTCACAAATGAAAGAAATGGAGGAAAGCAAACTAATGGAGGACAGAGTTCAGAACCACAGTTATAAGGTTACTCAAGAATCTTCTACGAACCTCTGAGGAACTTAGTGAGACCTTCAAGGATCTGAATGAGAATGCCAAAAAAATGGAAAAGGACCAGTCAGAAATTAAACATACACCGACTGAAATAAAGAATAATATACAGAGATCCAACAGCAGACGAGAGGATCGCAAGAATCAAGTCAAAGATCTGAAATAAGAAGAAGCAAAAAACACCCAACCGGAAAAGCAAAATGAAAAAAGAATCCAAAAATATGAAGATAGAGTAAGGAGCCTATGGGACAACTTCAAACGTACCAACATCTGAATTATCGGGGTGCCAGAAGAAGAGAGAGAGCAAGATACTGAAAGCCTATTTGAAGAAATAATGACAGAAAACTTCCCCTACCTGATGAAAGAAATAGACTTACAAGTCCAGGAAGTGCAGAGAACCCCAAACAAAAGGAATCCAAAGAGGACCACACCAAGACACATCATAATTAAAATGCCAAGGGCTAAAGACAAAGAGAGAATCTTAAAACAGTTAGTTACCTACAAGGGAATACCCATACGACTGTCAGCTGATTTCTCAACAGAAACTTTGCAGGCCAGAAGGGAGTGGCAAGAAATATTCAAAGTGATGAATGCCAAGAACCTACAACCGAGATTACTTTATCCTGCAAAGCTATCATTCAGAATTGAAGGTCAGATAAAGAGCTTCACAGATAAGGAAAAGCTAAAGGAGTTCATCACCACCAAACCAGCATTATATGAAATGCTGAAGGATATCCTTTAAGGGATAAATACCACATGATCTCACTCATTTGTGGAATATAATGAACAACATAAATTGATGAACAAGGACTGATCCAGAGACGGAGAGGCATTGATTGGACTGTCAGGCCTTGGAGGGAAGGTAGGGGAGGATGGGGGTAAGGGGGAGAGATCAACCAAAGGACTTATATGCAGGCATATAGGCCTAACCAATGGACATGGACAACAGGGGGGGAGGGGGAGGGCATGAGCAGGAGGGGGGGGGGTAGGGGGTAATGTGGGGATAAGGACACATATGTAATATCTTAATCAATAAAAAATATATTTAAAAAAAGATGTAATAGATAAAATGAAATATGGGACAGTTACTAATATTAACACAAAAACCAGTACAATTACGAAGGCCATTATGACCTTGATCAGGGACATATAGCAGGGCTTATCTACACTCTTCTAACAATATAGAAGCTATATAATTCCTGTTTATGAATTATTTTATGGCCTAGCAGAAAGAAATGGGAATGTCATGTATTTGTCTTGGAATTTCACAGGTTTTAAAAAGAAGACTACAACAGGGAGTCACAGAGAAATAAACTTTGGGATAAGCATAACAAAGCAGGAGTAAAAATGGGAAAGGCCAGAGGATGAAGGTGGGAAGATATTAAGGACCATCATAGTTTTGCTATTAGAAATATCTATTTCATGTTATCACATAGACATATATGGATTAGACTACGGCCATACCACCCGAATGCGCCTGATTTCGGAAACTAAGCAGGGTCGGACCTGGTTAGTACTGCCCTGGCTAATTTGGCTCAGTTGGTAGGAATGACATCCTGTACACCGAAAGGTTGTTGGTTTGATTCTGTTCAAGGCACATCCCCAGTCCCAGTTGGGGTGCATGTGATTGGCAACTGAAAGATGATAAACGTTTGTTTCGTCCCCGCCCCCCGCCCCAAAAAAATCAATGAAAATGTCCCCAGGTGAAGATTTTTTTAAAAGAACTTTAGGAAGCCATTGTTATAGCTTCAGAGACTTCTACATGTCAAGAAAGCTAAAGAAGAGGTCAGGCTTTTTCAAGAGCTAGTGCAGAGTAACATGAGATCAAGTAGCTCTGATACTTAGGAGGTACAGTTCTGGAGAAATACTTTTGCTATGTACGCACCCTGACTGGGGATCGAACCCACAACTACTGTATGAGCCCTGACCGGGAATTGAACCCGGGACCCTCCAGTGCACAGGACAACGCTCCAACCAACTGCCAGGACTCAACATAATACTTCTATTATTTCTTAATCAGTCGGCCCTTGAATAACATGGGGACTAGGGACATCACCCCCAGTGCAGTTGAAAATTCACATTACTTTTGACTGAAAGTCTTATCAATGACTTAAATAGTCAAATAAGACATATTTAGTATGTTATATATAATATTTAATATACTCTTATAATAAGAGAAAAGTTGAGAAAGCATGTACATATATTTTATGTATTCATGACATACCTAACTTTTTCAAAAATTTTTTCAATATTTCTAGGCTATGTGAGTCACCTACAAATTTCCCATATTGTTCAAGGATCAACTCTATACCTCCTGGACAGATTTTCCTGTGGTGGTAATTACTTTGTTTTAAGCATAATTTATGACATGAAATTTATTACCTTGGCTTCAGTGCTTACAACTGGTTTTACAGGGAACTGAACTTCTGTGGCTTTTAATATTGTATTTTCTTGAAGAATGTCTTGTTGAGATTGATTGTGACCAAATGGCTAAAAATAAAACGTTGAGAAATTTATCTCACAAAAAATTTAAACAGATATTATCATTGAATACTCAAGATACAAATGATTTGTGTTCTAAAAAAGTCTTGCCCTCAGTTACATGGAAGTTGGGATGCATTTTCATAGCAACAAAGTTATAATTTGTACCTGCCGAGACAGCCTAATTAATCAATCCTCAAAATAGCTGAAACACTGTGAATAAGCAAAATAAAATAATGCTACTGCAACACAGGTAATTAAGATAAAATAACATAAGATATTTAAAACTTTTATTTTATTGATTTTCTACAGAGAAGAAGGGAGAAGGATAGAGAGATAGAAACATCGACTAGCTGCCTCCTGCACGCCCCCCCAGAGGGAATGTGCCCGCAACCAAGGTACATGCCCTTGACCGGAATCGAACCTGGGACCCTTGAGTCTGCAGGCCGACGCTCTATCCACTGAGCCAAACCGGTTTGGCATAAAACTTTATTCTTAATATTTACAAAATGAAATTTGATTAGAAAAAAGATGAAGTAGTGGAAATGCCTGTGGAAAGACCACTGAATAAAATACTTTGAGCATAGTACACTAACTTAAATGAAATAGCTCTGGGTTTGGTCCTCCTAATTTGCAGTCAATTTCCAGACAAGTTCATTAAACTCTCTTTCCATACTGATGAAGGGACTAGATGGGATGGGGATTAGATAATATCTATAATAGTTTGTAGTTCTGACTTCAAAATAAAGAGGGTTAGGAAATATTAAGACTTAAGTTTGGTGAAATTTCCCTGAGGAAACTATGTCAAGGCCAAACTGTGTGTGCATGCAGTGAGGGAGAGAGAATGGAGGATAATGAAGAGTTTTGGCTCCAGTATTCCTTAACAATGTTAGCACTGTTAACATGTAGTTCTTTTCCTTCAGTTAAAAAAAAAGGTGTGTGTGCAAAATGCAGGCCAAGAAAATTGTTACGACGTTAAAATAATCCTGATCCACAGAAATTTTAGAAGAAATAGAGAAGAGCCCTAGCCGGTTTTACTCAGTGGTTAGAGCAGGGGTCCTCAAACTACGGCCCGCGGGCCACATGCAAATACAAATATTGTATTTGTTCCCGTTTTGTTTTTTTACTTCAAAATAAGATATGTGCAGTGTGCCTAGGAATTTGTTCATAGTTGTTTTTTAAACTATAGTCCGGCCCTCCAACGGTCTGAGGGACAGTGAACTGGCCCCGTTTATGAAGTTTGAGGACCCCTGGGTTAGAGTGTCAGCCTGTGGAACTAAGGATCTCACGTTTGATTCTGGTCAAGGACACATGCCTTGATTGCAGGTCGATCCCCGGCCCACATCAGGACATGTGCGGGAGGCAACCCATCGATGTTTCTTTCTCTTTTCCTCTTCCTCCCCTTCTATTCTCAATGGAAAAATATCCTCAGGTAAGGATTGAAAGAAATAGAGAAGAAGCCTGGCTTTCTTGGAAGGACTTAAATTGACTTTTGACTTTAAGTTAATGAACTTTGTATTTAAAAGGGGAAAATTCCACTTATCTAAATAGTACAGCTGCATCTGGTATACTTTAACTTACCTTTCTGCCATAAAGACACTGAAAGAAAATGACTCCAACTGACCACACATCAACCTTGTTGGAAATTTTTGGTGGTTCTTTTCCAACTACAAAACACTCAGGAGGTAAATACCTATAGTTTTTTGGGGAGAAAAAGGGAAAGGATACTATTAACAATCTGTAATTTAAAATCTAAGTGTAAAATCTCAGAACTAATTTTATCCACATAAAACCTTAGGACCTTCATGAATGAAAATCACCAATCAAGTTTTTGAATCCTTTTATCACCTGACCCTAGTGCCAAAACATACAACTTTGAGATAAAGTATGATACACACACATCCTAAAGTGTACAATAACATATATTATCATTAGAAATTACAATGTTCTAGGCACTTTCCCTTCCCTCTTCATTTCTCTTTCCTTTCCTCCTCCCCAGGCATGTTACCATTAGCTTTCACTCCCAAGCTCCAAAGGACCTTCTTTTACCTCTAGAACTTGTTTGCTAAGCCCGTTTCTTCTAGGAACTACCTTTTCTACCTCTGTAATTTGGGTAAGTGTCTAATAATAGAATAAATCCTCTCCCACTGCCCCTCTTCACCAGCATTCAAACTGTAGGCAGTTCTCTTCCTAAAACACACATCTGATCAGGTGGCTCTTCTGTTTAAAGAACCTCAGCATTACTAACTGCCAAGGTATATACTACCTCATATCTCGTTTGTAACACAAGACCCATCGTAATCCGGCAGCAACTTAAACTTCCAACATCTGCGCTCACTCTTCTTCTCCACCCCTCAAACGGGCTAGGGAAAGCCAATTAATTAACTTAGCTGCCCACACTGCTTTTCTGTCACCTATGCTTTTGAATATGACAATCTTGAATACCTTCCCTAACCCTCCAATTCACGTGGAGAGCACCTTTTCTGCTTCCCTCTAGGGAAGCTTTGCTTCTTCCCCAGGTAACCATCATGACTATATCTCTTTCCTGCACAGCCTCCTAAATACAAGCCTCCCTGTCTCGTGTCTACCTGATAGAGGTAAATTTCCTTATCTGCCCTGCCCTACATGAGTGAAGCCAGAGTGAGAGGGGAACAATATACTGGGTGTCTTTGCAGAAAAAAAAGGATCTATTATTTAGAACATGGTTTTCAAGTGTCTTCCATAGGGTTCTACCAAAAAGCCTTGTTTTTATTGGTTTTATTTATTAGGACCCTAAGATTTTATTGTGAAAAAGCAAGCCTTGCTGCTAAAAGAAAAAAAAGTCTAAAGATTACTAACTGAGGATACAACTATTTAGGGGGTTACTAGTTTGAATAATTTTCTTTAAGTATGAAAAAAATTCAGGACATATCTAATTCATATTCCTAGAAAATGCCACAAGCAGAATTTAAAACTTTAAAATGGCTTTAAAAGAACGCATGAACACGACTAATCCCTGTTCATGAAAAGTGAAGTCCGTACAGAACTGTGCTGTTTTATGGGACTGGTCATTATGTGCCCAAGCTATCTGTGAAGACTGTTTGTAGTCACCATCCTGTTCAAGAAAATTAAATACAGTTATCTTTCTTCCAATTAAAATGTCCCTCCTTTTGCTCAACTAATTTATTCTGAAAACTAAGTTTGTTTTGAAATTTTATAATCTACGTTCTTCACTTGGGTGAACTGGACAGTAAGTTTGACAATTCACACTGAAGTAATTTTTTTTAACACCTAGGTAACTGTGAAGGGAATGACATTCATTTAGACTGTGAATCTATGGTGCTATCTAGACTTATATCTATATGTAATGAAGTCAATAAAAGGTGTTTGTGAGAGTCAAGTCCAAAGGCCAAATACTTCTCCCATCCACGATCAACAAAGCATCCATCTCCAATAAAAACTTTAACTACAAAACCTCTACAGAGAGGGCTTTTTGCTTATTTCCTGTAACAGTCGAGATGTTATATTTATGTAAGTATTTTTTCATGATAAATGTCACTCTAACATTATAGAAAAAACCCACACATTCTCCACATTAGGAGTTTCTGGGTAGGTTCTAAAGTCACCTGCTAATGCTAAGTCTTTCTCCCTCTAGTTTGCTGAGATGAGTCAAGAAGACTGATGAACATGGCCTCTCGCTCAACTCAGAGACTTAGCATCAGTGCCCTCAGCACAGTAATCTCAAAGGTACATGGAAAGAAAAACTAAACTCTCATAAAAAGCCTTGTGACTAGTCTAGACAATTTTGATGTTTTCAGTAATATATTTACCAGTAAGTGCCTGCCCCTTGGGAAGTTAGGTCCATTCCATCTACACCATAGCTATCGTCATCCATGATCTTGGACAGACCAAAATCAGTGATTTTGATTTCTCCACAAGCTGTTCCATCCACCAGAAGGATGTTTCCTAGGAACAAAATAAAAATAGAAGGTTCTTTTAATGATACATAGATAAATAACATCTTTATGACTTACGCTAACTTTTGGGAAATAAATATAATTTTAAAAAGTGACATGACAAAAAGACTTTAAATTCTACTACTCTATTGACATTTACAAACTAAACCAAAAAGCATGTTTTCAGGTAAATTAATAAATATGACATTATACTCCTTAGAGCTTAAAAATTTATTTAGACAATGTTATTAATTACCTGGCTTAAGATCATAATGTATAATAGGGGGTTTGATTTCATTGAGATATCTTAGTGCATTTACAATTTGCATTACAATAGACCTAGCTTCTTTCTCCGACATTAATTTATGTTGCTTCAGATAGAAATCCAAGTCATTGCCTTCGCAGTATTCTAACACTGTACAAAACCTAAAATGGAGAAGATTAAAAAAATTAGATATGAAATATTATCCAATAATTCAGAACCATAGAGAAGAAATGAAGTCATTTATACCACCACCACAGAATAGGGAAAGCAGAAAGCAAACATATCTTTACTTATATTCACTTACGTATCTGTATCCAAGGAGAAATAATCATAGAGTTTAACTATTCTGGGATGATCCAGCTCTTTGTGTATTCTATACTCTCTGCAGGCATGTCTGCAGGAAGAGAGAGTATTTTAATTCTCCATTACATTAAATATGTTTTCAATTGATAAAAAGAATGAAGTATTATATTTACTTATAGTAATTTTCCTTTTTCTCATCCCTCCAGCTTTTATTAAGCTGATGGATCTTCACAGCAGCGTATCTTTGTTCATAAAGGTCAAAAGCCTAGGATTCAAGTCACAAGAGTTAGGACCAAAGACCAACTGAATAGCTGAAGAGATTAAAAAAAAATTGGTGATGATTTTCGCATAATATGGAATTAGAATATACACTACAATTCTTGTGTTGATCTTTGCTAAGATTATATACAGTTCAATGACACATGATCAGAAACAAGATACATATTCCATGGTGCTAAATCAGAGGAAACTTTAAAGTTTTATAAATAAATCAAAATAAAACAACAAAGCTATTTTTTGTTTTTAATATGAACCTGTTCCTCTATCCTGGCAGCAAACAGCCAGGAAAACAGATGGCTCTAATGCTTTTTTTGTGGGTTGGATAAAGCAAACCTTTTTTCTCTAGCTTCTCCTAGCAACTCCCCACCTTTTCCCTCACTTGTATGAAAATTAACAAGTTCCTAAACTTTAATTATGAAACTGTTCAAACAGACATTATCACACCTAACCTCATCTAATACCCAACTAGTCTTTAATTTTCCCTAGTTGTCTAAAAAAAAAAACACACCAAAAACGGTTTTGATACTCGTTTGTTTAAATCATCATCAGTCTATTTCTTAAGTAACAAAATAAAAAGTGACCAGTATTGTTTGACTTCCGGTGACTTAAAAGTTTTTTTAAACAACAAATGCCATTAAAAGACAGATTTAATAATTTAGGTTTCACTGTGATTTATATACAAAGGTGCCCCTTTAAGAAAACACTTAGCTTACATATTTATTAAGAAGCAGGTCCTTAACTCACACTCTCCCCATCAATTTAATCTAAAAATAAGCAGTAGTGGTAAACTACTTATCACAAAATTATAGAAGCATGAGATCAGAAATAATAAAGGATGGAATAATTAAGAATATTCATTTTGGAGTCAAGATAACCTTATTAGCTGCAGGACTTTGTGCTAATACCCTCTCTCAGCCTCATTTATAAAGTTTGGGTTGTTAAAAGGATAAAATGGGGTGAAGCATATAAAGTACTTATTTATTTTTTAAATATATTTTACTGGTTTTTTACAGAGAGGAAGGGAGAAGGATAGAGAGTTAGAAACATCAATGAGAGAGAAACATCGATCAGCTGCCTCCTGCACATCCCCTTTTGGGGATGTGCCCGCAACCAAGGTACATGCCCTTGACCAGAATCGAACCTGGGACCCTTCAGTCCGAAGGCCGATGTTCTATCCACTGAGCCAAACCAGTTAGGGCCATATAAAGTATTTAGAAAAGTATAATTCATAGTAAATATCCAATAAATATTAGCTAATTATATTAATTAAAAGTTGGGTTTAGGTGTGCCCTCCCTCTGGGGAGCATGCCTGTGTCTTTCCCTTCCTCCTCTTCCCCCACAGGAATGCAACTCAAACTCTAAGGGACCCCATGGGACTTGCACCCTGAAGCTGTCCCCAAGGTCCCCTTTTCCCTGACTTCTTAGTGAGCCAAAGCAGCCCAGCCTAGGCTCATTTACCCTCTTAGTCTCTTGCCTGTTGCTTCTTCTATCCTAGGCCCTTCCTTGTTTCACCGTTTCCAGCTTTAATAAACTTCTAAATCAGTGGTTCTCAACCTTGGCTGCACATTAGAATCACCTGGGAATGTTTTTAGAATCCTGATTTCTGGGCCTCATCCTCCGGACATTCTGTTTCTTTGTTATGGGGCGGGGCCACAACATTAGTAACAAAGAAACAGAATTTCCGGAGGATGAGGCCCAGAAATCAGGATTTTAAAAACATTCCCAGGTGATTCTAATGTGCAGCCAAGGTTGAGAACTGTTCTAAATGCACTGTTCTAAATATTTAAAAGTTGGATTTAAATAAATAGAAAAGAATTTTCAAAGATTCATGTGAGAGAAAGCAGAGTGGCATAAAGGATAAAATTCAGAGGCAATCATAATAAATGAAAATAGATGAAAGTAAAATTAAGTTCACTACTGATAAAAGTTAGTGCCAGTGTATGCTGATTATAATAGTTATATATGACACATCTTTCTCCCAAGATTAGATGAGTAAAGTACCTTCTCATAACAGAGTTATCACTAAGCAACTAACTCAATCTTTCCCACCGTGGTACAGATAAGTCTATACAATTTGATTTACAATCTGTTGCTTTGTTTCTCAATGGACCTGGCAACCACGAAAGGGCTTTGTAGAGGTTGGAGTGAGTGCTTAGTATTTAGGTCAGTATGAAGGTTCAAGTCGTTAGGCTCCCATCTGCATTTTCTAATTTCTAAAAGAAAGTCCCCTTTGGCCCTAGAAACGGCGGCAGAAGGGTGCTGTGATTAGTGGGCTGAAAAGCTGGGCAGGTTTAGGCTGAGCTAGCAGTGTTAGGTAACTGTACACGTTTGGTGATTTTCAGACCCAAGGTGAGCTGTTATGATTTTTTCCACCACGAGGCCGTGTAAGCCTACTTCAATCATTATAGTGCACGAGTATGAACTACTGTTAGAATCAAAGATATAGGAATTATAAGCAAGCTCATAGATCACTCCTGATAGGGGAGGCCCATGATACTTATTACTTGTCCAATTTAACAACAACAACAACAAAATAGCTACTGGTTGAGCTAAGACTAGAATTGAAGTTCTCAGAATTCAAATTCCAAATTTTCCCAGAGTCAGAACAATACAGAATGTTTTCAGTAAGCCACGAAGGCACAGTCCTTGTCTCACTACACAGAGAGGATTTCTAATAATGATGATCTTACATTTATTAAGCACTAATGTTCTATGTGATTTACCTGTGATAGCTCAATCAATCACGACCCTACGATGTAGGCACTGTTATCATTCCCAGATGAAGACAGTGAGACAGAGGATGATTCAGCAATAAGCCCAAGATTATACCGTTATTTAATAGCAGTCAGAATTAGGATTCAAACCCAGTCAGTCTGGCTTCAGGATCCGAGCTCTTAACCACTAACTATACTGATATATAATGAAGCACCAAGTATCACAAGGAGCTTATAAAAGGCGGATAAACAAGGAGCGCTTCTAAAGGAACTGAAGCTTCAGGTGAGAGCATGACTTCATCCTAACTAAGCGCAAATGGGAAGCCACCGGGGCTTATGAGAGAGAGAACATTGCACTGTATTTTATAAAAAGGCTACTCTAGCTGCAGCTTACACAAGTACAACGGAGAACTTAATGCCCTTGAGGAGCAATGCAAACGAGAGACAATGTGGCCTTGAGCCCAGAGAAAGCTAAGGGCCACTGCTGGATTTCGGAGAGTGTGATGACATTACTAACAGTGGGCACCCAGGGACTGGTTACATGCTGGGGAAGGGAAGGGAAAGGCAGAGTGAAGGCTGGCTTTCATGTTTGTCACTTGAGGGACTAGGCAGTTGAATAGCAATGCTATCTACTAAAGTAGGAAGCAGTGTTAGAAGGAGGGGTTTTGGAGAAGAGAAAAATAACTTCTAATTAAGAAGTGAGTTTGCACACACACAGACACACAGATCTAAGGGTGAAATCAAATAGGTAAGTCAGTGAATGGCAGGGATATATTTGAAAAGGAGAATACAGAATAAGAGACTTAGGAGCTACAATATTTAAAGCAGAAAGGTACAACATAAAGTGGAAAAAAGTGAGGTAAAAAACATTGAAAAACAAAAAAACCAGAACATAATGAGTAAAAATTTGTACATTTACACATATGCATTTAAAAAACATGGGCAAAATAGGTGGAAATTTCTGTAAATTCAGGACATGTAAGATTTCTGAGACACATGTTTAAATATAAGGGTACAATCTGTCCATAAAGGTACTATATCATATGACTGCCTGCCTATTTTGATTCTAATGGCTATTATTTGTATTGAACTGGCTAATGGTAACTAGGTAGCAAATACTTGATAGACTGTGCAGGTGCAAACATAGTCTTTAGACCCTTAACACACTGCAGACAGACCGTGTTTTCGTACTATACAGAGTTTTACAAAGTATCATACTTTAAAAAGATATTAGCTTATAAAAACATGTAATAAATAACTTCAAAATGCAATGGGTATTTAATTTTAAGGCTTGCTTTTAACATTTATGTAAAACATTTTTTGTACTTGTTCAATAGAAACTTATCTGGCCACTGGGTAACGCTAGCAATAAAACTACTGGTCCACATTAAGATACAACATAAGCCACCAGACTTTTTGTAATGAGAGTTACTACATAAAATTTGCCCTCCGCCCCCCAATTATAAAATTAATAAAAGACAAGTATTTCTTAACCACATACAGGTATCCCCCACTTTTTGAGATTTCGCATTAGGTCACTTTTCTTTTACAAAAGGCCTACATTTATTTGCACCCTTTTTGGCTAACTGCAATAAATACAAAGAGGGTTTTTGCTTTTATGAGAAAAAGCAAGAAGTAAAAATAGCTTTCAGTGCTCATTTCACAGGGTTAGAGGCAGTGCACACCCTGTGCAGCCAGAGTGGCAGCCCGAGGTCCTCCCCCTAGAACCACACTCAGCATCTCAGCCAGCATAGCTTTGACCTGTGTTTGTGAGCTTTACCTGGATTTACTTTATGCATTAATTAGCAAGATGTGTCCTAAGCTTTCAGAAAAGCCCAAGAAAGCTCGTAAGGGTGTTGCACTTATCATAAAACTGGACATAATTACATGTACTCGGTAGGATTTGGTGGGTTCTTTAGGAAGTCTGGGAATACTTGAAAAAATTTCCATATAAATTAATGGTAACTGCTTCTGTGCTTTATGCTCTTCTGACTTCTGAAAGTTTTCATAGGAACACTCTACTTGTGGGTAGTAGGGGAAACTTGTACTCCTATATTAGTGTGAAGAACAGAAAAAAAAATTACATTACCTTATACACTTCACTAAAGCCACCTCTACCAAGCAGATGAAGTAATAAATATCTTTCATTTAACGTTGGGTGATCTTTGAACCTTAAGGGTGGAGGAAAAAAACAGTTAACATGAAAACGCATACAAAAAGGTTCTGTCCACAATAAAGTTCCACACTCTTATTCTACCTCTAGCTATTTCTTTCTCACTCAACTGCTAATTCCAAATTCTGTTCCATACTTTTTTATCTGCATGACTATCACCCACCTTAACACTTGGTGTTTATTTATAAAGCTTAACATTCATAGATGAATATTCAGGTTCAATGACCAATTATAGCACTGTGATAAAGAGCTACCAACTATTGTGTTATCAAGAGCTTTATGAAATCCCCTATCTAACTCAGCAGGAATTACTTCCCTCAGAAAAAATACTTTTATATTTTTTGTTATGGTTAATCAAGACTTTATAGTATTGACATGCAATTAAAAATAATTATACTTTTACACTGGCTTTTGCCCATAAATTTTACTGTTTTTAGACTTCTATAAGTAAAATTTTATTTCCCAATTAAAAAAACAATTTGTTTAAAAACTTTAAAAAAATCATTCACAGACAATACTGCTATTACATATCTACAAACAAGTTCGAACACAGTTTTCAGGACAGCCAATTTTTAATTAGTCTTGTTCTGTTTAATTAGAATTTATCTGGTACAATTTAACTTATTCCATAACTATAATATTTCATTCACCTTACACACTGGAATGATTATGTATCTGTGAGTTACACATACACTAATAATCACAGATAGGCCTTTTTAATTTTAAGCAAGATATTTATATTTCACAGCAGAAATGGTCACTTCCAATTCTGATACTCTTGTTAGGCCATGAGGTTTTAAATTACGTGACAAGTTTAGGTATAAAAGACATGCTTTTCTCCTTGACATGATTAAATCCAAGGAATGCTTGGCATAATTTCCGTCTTCTTGCTTAATTTCTATCTTCTTCATAAAGCTCCCACCAGTCCATTGTATTTTTCTCTCCATTCTTATAACCAGGGGTTAAGGACAGAGACTTATTCTCAAGTTCTGCACAATAATGCCGGATATGTGGTTTACTGAAATCCCTTTAGTTGAAATAATTTCTCTTTCCCTACTAATATTAATTTTGGGATTCAATCAACAAATATTTATTGCATGCCTACCATGTGCCAGAAAAAGGTGCAAAAATAAAACTAAGTTCCTCCTCTCATATAGGTTATATTCTAATAGGAGACACATAATAAATAACTGAAATATAAACTTATAATTCCAGATAGTGATAAATGTTATTAAGAAAACAAAACAAAGCGAGGCCCTGCCTATGAGACCAATCTCAAAATAAAGAACTTACATAGACAAAAAAACAAAAAAAAACCCCCAAAAAACAAAAAGCGAGAAACCAAGATGGCGGCATAGGTAAACACTGGAAATTGCTGCCTTGCACAACCACTTCAAAAATACAACTAAAAGACAAAACGGACATCGTCCAGAACCACAGGAAAGATGGCTGAGTGGAAATTCTACAACTAGAAGGAAAAGAGAAAAGCCCACTGAGACTCAGAGGAGGTGCAGAAGTAAAGTGCAGAGGTACGGAGGCGCATGCAAGGGCTGGAAACTGAGGACACGGTTGTCTTTTTCAATCGGGAGAGAGACACAAGCTCTCGACTGCTCTGAACTCCAGTTCTGGGCGAGTCTCTGGGGACCCAGACTCATACGGGGAGAAACTGGACTGCCTGGCATCGGTCGGAACTCGAGGGTGGCTTTCTCTCAGAGGTGCTTGCAGCGATTACCCAGGACACTGAGACACGGGGCCTCTTAGGGTAGGGCTGAGGATCAGCCATAGCTGTTTGCTCCACCCTGTTGATTCCCTGAGACCCTGCCCCACCCAAGCTGTGCACAGAGGCTTTTGCATATGAAAGGCCTGGCCCTTTGCAATCTGAAAACTACCTAACAAACTGCAGCTGGGTCAGAGAGACCCAGAACTTCCAAAAGAAGGCCCAAGGCCCCACAGCAGCTTGCACTGCTTCATAGCTGGGCCTCATTTGGGCACCTCCAAACCCCAAACAAAGAAGAGGAATCTGCAGATCTCTCCATAGCTCCTGCTGGGTAGCCTCAGCCCGAGGTAAATTAGCACCTCCTTAGAGATACAAGAGCCAGTGTACCCAGTGGTCGGAGGGGGACCATCCAGATTACAACTCCTCAGATCCATAAGGGACACATTCAGGGGGCAGACTCAGTGAGCACCAAAGCCCCACTGAAGCAAGTCTTGCCCCGGAGGGGTGTCTCCAGCACAGAAGTTCTCCCACTGCAGACACAGCTGATTCTCACAACCAACTGGCCTGGAGGTCAATTCCTCCCAGTGATACCTACAACAATCAAGGCTTAACTACAACAAGACTGTGCACAAAGCCCACAAAGGAGTGCACCAAGAGTGTCCACCTCAGGTAATTTGGGAGGCTGAGCCACTGGGCAATATAGGACACCTAGCACCGAAAGCCACTCTATCAACACAGGGAAGCATTAAAAATGAGGAGACAAAGAAACAGGTCACAAATGACAGAAATGGAGGAAAGCAAACTACTGGATATAGATTTCAAAACCACACTTATAAGGTTTTTCAAAAATTTTCTAGAAACAGCCAATAAATTTAGTGAGACCCTTGAGGATATGAAAAAGGACCGCCTAGAAATTAAGCATACACTGACTGAAATAAAGAATATCATACAGATTCCAACAGCAGACTAGAGGATCGCAAGAATCAAGTCAAATATTTGAAATACGAAGAAGCAAAAAAACACCCAAGGGAAAAACAAAATAAAAAAGAATCCAAAAATATGAAGATAGGGTAAGGAGCCTCTGGGACAACTTCAAGTGTACCAACATCCGAATTATGGGGGTGCCAGAAGAAGAGAGGAAGATATTGAAAACCTACTTGAAGAAATAATGACAGAAACCTTTCCCTACCTGTGAAAGAAATAGACTTACAAGTCCAGGAAGCAGAGAACCCCAAACAAAAGGAATCCAAAGAGGACCACACCAAGACACATCATAATTAAAATGCCAAGAGCAAAAGACAGAGAATCTTAAAAGCAGCAAGAGAAAGAAACTCAGTTACCTACAAGGGAGTACCCATACGACTGTCAGCTGATTTCTCAATAGAAACTATGCAGCCAGAAGGGAGTGGCAAGAAATATTCAAAGTGATGAATGCCAAGAACCTACAACCAAGATTACTTTATCCAGCAAAGCTATCATTCAGAAGTGAAGGTCAGATAAAGAGCTTCACAGATAAGAAAAAGCTAAAGGAGTTCATCACCACCAAACCAGGATTATATGAAATGCTGAAAGGTATCCTTTAAGAAGAGGAAGAGGAAGAAAAAGGTAAAGATACAAATTATGAACAACAAATATGCATCTATCAACAAGTGAATCTAAGAATCAAGTGAATAAATAATCTGATGAACAGAATGAACTGGTGATTATAATAGAATCAGGGGCATAGAAAGGGACTGGACTGACTATTCTTGGGGGGGAAAGGGGTGTGGGGGTGTGGGAAGGGACTGGAAAAAAATTGTACACCTATGGATGAGGACAGTGGGGGTGGGGGGTAAGGGCAGAGGGTGGGGTGGGAACCGGGTGGAGGGGAGCTACGAGGGGAAAAAAGTAGAACAACTGTAATAATCTGAATAAAGATTTAATTAACAAAAAAACAAAAACAAAAAAAACAAAGCAAGGTAAAGATACCAAGAAAGGGAAGGGAATGACTAAGGACTGCTATTTTAGATAGGGCTGCCTAGGAATGGCCTCCAATGACCATTTGGAGTGAAATCAAAAGGAAGCCACTCAGATATTTAGAAGAGGAACATTTCAGGTGAGAAGGTGGCCAGCACAAAAGCCTTGAGATAGGGATGGGGGCTGGCATGGCTGCAACTTGTACATAAGGGGAGGATGATAGAGATATGTTGGTGAGGTGTCCACGGACCAGTTTACTATAAGACTTGCTGAGCCATGGGAAGGCCTGTGGATCTTCTTTCTAAGTATGATCAGAAGCCCCCAGAAGTGTTTATGCTCCACACAGAAGAGAAACACTTTTATCATGTAAAACTGAAGTATAATAATGACTTACTGTGAATTATCTTCATTATTTATCCTTTTGAGCTCTCGAATGTGCAGATTTCTTACTCTTTCCAAACGTTCAAGTTCTGCCTGAATTTCTGCCTCTTCCTGAAAATGAAGAGAGGGTACTATAACAAGCTCAATTTATTTGCTATATAAAAAAGATATTTTTACTCATGCGTCAATTTTTTTCAGTGACAGGAAGAACAGTTATTATAAAGTACCACTGAGTTAAAAGACCAAAGTGCTCTTTTCAATCCCTGAAAGATGGAAAAAGATCAGGAAAAAGCCTATTTCAAGAAACCATCCTCCACATAAAAACTATACCTAATGAGATGCTGAGTTTTATTCTGTACAACAAGAAATCTATTTTTATAATGCCTAAATTGAAAATGGCTGCATGGTAGTCTCAAACTGACTTATAACAAAATGAACTGAAAGCTTCATTTCTGGTACATCCAAATTTTAATTTAAGAGGGAATAATTTACTAGCATAAAACAAATGAAGATATCCTATTTAATAAAAGGGTAATATGCAAATTGACCCTAACAACGGTTGCTATGACACACACTGACCACCAGGGGGCAGACACAAGCAAGTGCAGCGGCGGTGGAAGGAGACTCTCCCGCCTCCTCAGCAGCACTAAGGATGTCCGACTGCAGCTTAGGCCCATGGGGAGTGGGCCTAAGCTGGCAGGTGGACATCCCCCGTGGGTTACTGGACTGCGAGAGGGAGCAAGCCAGGCTGAGGGACCACCCTGAGTGCACGAATTTTCACGCACCGGACCTCTAGTTTTACAATAATTACAAGAGGAAGAAAGGAAAAAGACAGAACCACTGATTATTTCTAAAGCTTACAACATTTGGAACACACGCACACAATCTGACCACTCCCTATGGATAAATCCCATGGAAATCTTAAATAGACTCTAAAACAAACATTTTATGAATAGCTGATCCTTAGTTATCATCAGAGCAGATTTAGGCAAATTCTAAAAATATTTATGTTGCCCCTGCAAACTGAAGGGTCCCAGGTTCGATTCTGGTCAAGGGCATATACCTTGGTTGCGGGCACATCCCCAGTGGAGGGTGTGCAGAAGGCAACTGATCGATGTTTCTCTCTCATCGATGCTTCTAACTCTCTATCCCTTTCCCTTCCTCTCTGTAAAAAATCAATAAAATATATTAAAAAAATTTATGTTAACATTCATTTAGTAAAAAATTTTGATATTTTCATGTCTCAAAATATATAATTTTTTAGAACATTAAAAATAACTAGAGCCGAACTGATTTGGCTCAGTGGATAGAGTGTCGGCCTGCGGACTGAAGGGTCCCAGGTTCGATTCCGGTCAAGGGCATGTACCTTGGTTGTGGGCACATCCCCAGTAGGGGGTGTGCAGGAGGCAGCTTATCGATCTCTTTCATCGATGTTTCTAACTCTCTATCCCTCTCCCTTCTTCTCTATAAAAAATTAATAAAATATTAAAAAAATAACTAGATATGAAAACAAGTCAACATAATCACCCATTACTTACACATTTCTGATTCATCAATATAAACTTGATATATAAACTTGAATATTATTTGAAGAATAAATAAGAATATACCAAATTCTAGTAGAGAGTTCTAAAAATGCCCAATTTTATAATATTTAAAAAAAAAAAAAAGAATATTTTTGAATATTTGTTTTGTAAATAAAGAAATACAGATTACCTTGGCCTAAACAAATACAGATTACCTTACCTACTACCAACATAAATCTATACCACATGGAGTAGAGGTTATTTCTGAAAACTGTACTTAAATTATTTCATCTTTGCCGAAACCGGTTTGGCTCGGTGGATAGAGCGTCGGCTTGCGGACTGAAGGGTCCTGGGTTCGATTCCGGTCAAGGGCATGTACCTGGGTTGCGGGCACATCCCCAGTAGGAGATGTGTAGGAGGCAGCTGATTGATGTTCCTCTCTCATCGATGTTTCTAACTCTCTATCTCTCTCCCTTCCTCTCTGTAAAAAATCAATAAAATAAAAAAAAAAATTTCATCTTTTATTAACTCCTCCTCTTTTAATGATTTATCATCTAATATTTAAAAAAATCCTTTATCTCAGAAAATAATTCTGAAATTTACTTTGAAAATATAAGTATCATTTCATTCCAAAGCAAATAATTAGCTATAGCCTATTTCTAAGGCTTACACTGAAGGGAATGTTCTAAGTATTATAAAAAACTAAACCTAGATATGTTTGTATTCCACTTGACCCTTAAAGTTACTTTAATTATTCTGAAGTGATACTCAATCACTACTTGTTATAGATATTTAATGTAGATTAAATAGAAACTTTCAAAATAAACTTAAATGAAGATACACGGTTCTAGCATGTGGGGGAGATTTTTAGATATCTACACTAATAAAAGAGAAACATGCAAATTGAGGCCGCTCCACTATGCCCACCAACCAATCAGAGCGACTATGCAAATTAACCCAACAAAGATGGCAGTTAATTTGCATATGGAGGCGCAGAGCGAAGACTGAAGGGAGTGAAGATTAAAGACTGAAGAGGCTTGGCTTAGCTGTGGCCGGAGGGGAGAGGAGAAGCCAAGCCAAGCCTTGCCGCGGCCAGATCAAAGGCCTGGGTCCCGGGTGCCGGAGGAAAACCGGTGCCAGCAGCCAGGGGAAGGAAGGCCTATTGTGCGAATCTTTGTGCACCGGGCCTCTAGTCTATATATATAAAAGGCTAATATGCACAGTGTCCCCTCTAGAGTTTGACCAGGAGTGAGATTACTTGCTATGACATGTGCTGACCACCAGGGGTGGCACGGAAAGAAGGAAGGCCCAGGCCAGCAGCTGGAGGGCCCCGATTGGCACTGATTGCCAGCCAGGCTTAGGGACCCTACCTCTGCACGGATTTCATGCACTGGGCCTCTAGTACTAAATATTAAACTGAAATTTTCTCATTAAATGTAGCTTCAGTCACACATAGTTCTAATTTTACTGAAAAAAGAAAAAGGTAATATCCCAGGAGATTAAACTAAAGATTAATTATAAAAACAGGAAATATACTAAAAAGCTTTTTGAAACAAATAAACTCAAGCCACAGCTAAGTTGTCTTAACACATAGCGGACCAGTAGTTTTATTGCTAGCTTTACCCAGTGGCCAGATAAGTTTCTATTGAACGAGTACAAAAAACGTTTTACATAAACGTTTTACATGCCTTAAAATTAAATACCCATTGCATTTTGAAATTATTTATTACTAGTACACGTTCTTACAAGCTAGTATCTTTTTAAAGTATGATACTTTGTAAAACATTGTATAATATGAAAACATGAGAATTCTCGTGATCTATCCACAATGTGTTGATTTAGTCATAATATAGTAAAAGAAACTGGCAGATAGGAATGTCCATGAGTATGAAAAAAATTCAAATTCATTTACACCACAGAACAAAAAAAAAGTGGTAAATTTTTTTCTTCATATTACTAATGTTTGCTGCCTTAAAACTTAATTTGATTCTTACACATGTAGGAAGCTACAAAATAGTTGGTAGTCTGGTGGATTTTTAACTGATAAAATAATGAAATGCCTATTAGAACACCAGCTGAAATACTGGTTTTAACTTTATTTGAAGTTGTGGTACAGGGATACTATTTATTTCAAGTGTGAATTTACAGAAATTAATTATATATTTATGACTCATTACAATTTGAGATTCAACTAACATGTTGATGCACATAATTACAAATGTTTTATAATTTTTGGTATCTATACAATGGCAGTAACCAATACCACAAAATAAATATTTTAAAAAGTAAATGTAGGCCTGCCAGTGTGGCTTGGTGGTTGAGCCAAGACCCATGAACCAGGAGGTCATGATTTGATTCCTGGTCAGGGCACATGCCAGGGTTTCAGGCTTGATCCCCAGTAGGGGGCGTGAAGGAGGCAGCCAATGGATAATTCTTTCTCATCACTGATGTTTCTCTCTCTCTCTCTCCCCCCCAATCCCTTCCTCTCTCTGAAATCAATAAAAACATAATTAAAAAAAGGTAATGTCTGTATCAGTTAAGCAAGCTCTTTTCTTCTCTATAGAACTTGACAAATACTGTCCCATAAAATCTTATAATACAAAAGCATAGGCAAGCTTCATTTCCATTTGAACTGTAAAGTTTACAAGGAAAATAAAAGGTCATAAACACTGGTGGGTGGGTGGGGGTGGGAGGGGGGAAAGCTGGATCCTTCCTAGGTATTTAAGAGAAAATGTCAAGGGAAGGAACTATAACCAAAAGTCTTGTAAACAAATAGACATAAATTCTCCAAAGTCAGTAAAATATATTTACAAACTTCATATTGTAATTTAATATTTATTCCACTATATCTTGGACCTTCAAACAAAGTGGAAAAAACAAAGTGGCACATCCTGGAAGATAATTCTGCAACTCGAAGTAATTTCTCTCAAATCCCACAGAGAAAAAGTACACATACTATACTATTATGGACTGAAGGTTTGTGTTCCCCCAAAATTCATGTAAGTCCTAACACCCAATGTAATGGCATTTGGAGATGGGCATTTGGGAGGTCATTAGAGTTAGATTAGGTAATGAGGGTGGGATCCTCATGATGGAATTAGTGGCTTTTTTTTTTTTTTAAAGTTAATCCTCACCCAAGGATATTTTTCCCACTGATTTTTAGAGTGGGAGAAGAGAAACATTGATGTCAGAGAGACACAGAGATTGGTTGCTTCCAGAATGCGCCCGCAAGCGAGGTTAATGACCTTGACTGGAATCAAACCTGGGGCCAATCCAGCTGTGGGATTAGTGGATTTGTAAGAAAGAAGAGAAAGATAATCACTAACCCCCATCCCCACCCCTTCTTTGGGGGAGCACAGGGAAAAGGCCATGTGAGGACTTGAGAAAGCAACTTTCTACAAACCAGGAAGTCTCACCAGAAACTGAATCCTGCCAGACCTTGATCTTGAACTTCCAGCCTCCAGAACTGTGAGAAAATAAGTTTCTGTTGTTTAAGCCACCCAGTCTATGGTATTTTGTTATGGCAGCCCCAGCAGATTAACACACATACTTTTAGGCACAAATACTAGGGCAATACTGCCTAGT